GGGAGCTATTCAAGGAAACTGATACTCATTGCCTATTATAGCAGTTGTCTGCCTAAGATGACTTAATCAACGGCTCAATGGCTGTGCAACCAGGGGTGGGGAAGGCAGCAGGGAGTGGCCCTGCGGGTTTACCTGGTGGTTGGGGTGGAGGGAGGTGGAGGGGCTAAGAACAGAGCTTATGTAGTAGACAACAAAATGGCGCTGGTCTGGCCCTTACAAAAACAAATATACAGAATGTTGAAACTACCAAAACTTGAACGGTCAATTGTCTGTGGCTAGTAACTAAAGGAAGAAAGAAAGGAAAATGCTGCACATGTATTATAACCATAGCCAAGGGCAATGAATGGCTCACAGAGGCATTTTGCAGTGTGTGGGAAGGAAGTCGGGGCAGCACGTGGAGCACTCTTGGGAGCTAGATCACTTGTACTGGAATCCTGGTCTGGCCCTTGCTTCTTCATTAGTAAATTTGGATTAATAAGGTAAGTTAGATTCTGACAAACAGTAATTGGTATAATAGTTAGTACTTCCCTGAACTAGTAAGAGCTTGAATATAATTAGAGACAGTGACAAAGGAGAACTACAAGATCAAATTCATTCAAACATTTACTGCCAGGTGTACAATATTCAGGGTCAGGGATTAAAGATCAGGAAGGCATGCTCCTTGCTCTCCAAGAGCTCACAGATAACTACAATTTGACAAGGAGGAAAAAACAGGTGCTCGACCAAAGCTTTGAGAACAGATTTTTTTTCTAAATAAGAAAGGATAATTGGAGATTGTCTTAAAGTTTTCCATAAGCCAGTGCTGACTGTTAGGTAACTGCCCCAGAAAAGCCCCTCCCCCAGAAAGCCCATCTCCTAGTTGCAAAATTTACTTCATTACCCACTAAAGTTAAAACTTGTGACCTGCCCCTAATAGCTCTTCATTGGCTATTCTACCATTCCATCATCATTCTAAACTGTTCCTTAATGAACCTATCTAAGAACACTCTTTCTTTTATTCCTTTTTTTTCTTTTTTCCTTGGTGCTGTTCTGCAGTCTCCCTCCTCCACCAATAAAAACCTTTTGTACAAGCCTTGGTGGTCTGTGAAATCTCTGCTGGTGGAGTGCCTCCCTTTCACCGACAATGTTAGTTAATTGCCCCTTAGAAAAGCCCCTTCCCCAGAAAGCCTCTTACTGCTTTGAAACAGACCACGACTTGTTGTCTCACTCTTAAAGTTACAGCTCCTTTCAACAGGGAGTTGCCCACTAAATAGCTCCTTATCTCTCAATCGTAAAACTTACCTCATGTCCCTATCCTGATTACCCACTGAAAATTTCAAACTTATGGCCTGCCACTAACGGCTCTTCAGGCCAGAGCAGTAACTCCTTATTGGCTATTCTACCATCCCATCACTATTCTAAGACTTCCCCTAACTAAACCTATATAAGGGTGTGCTTTTCTTTTCTTTTTTTTATTGAAGGGTAACTATGTACATTAATGTACTTCTGGGGTACAGTGTGGGGTTTGCACACACAATCCGAAATACTTCTATCAAACTGGTTAACATAGCCTTCATGTCATTTTCTTAGTTATTGTTACTTCTGAGGTTTATAAAACAATAACTAAGGGTGTGCTTTTCTTTTGATCTCTCTCTCCTCTCCTCCTCTTCTCACTCTCCTCCCTCCTCCTTGGCGCTGCTCTGCAGCATCCCTCCCTCGCCAATAAAGACCTTTCTTACAAGCTTTAGTGGTCTGTGAAATCTCTGCCGGTCGAGTGCCACCCTTTCAGACAATATTTATCAATACACCAAACATCAAGCATAGAATCACTATCCCTAACTTCCTGGTCACCTAATCTGGGTACCAGAGTGATGATGAGTTTATTCCTGTTATCTGTGACACTGCAGGGCATGCAAGGGCACCTTTCAATTAGTAAATAAACTCAGCTGTTTGACTTCAGATTTTCTTTTAGTAACAAAATAATGTCATTAACATTTCCTTTAAAAGGAAAAAAAATTCCTTTTATACTAAGGATTATTGGAAGTAATCCACAGTGACAAATGTAATTTTAAAATAAAAATTGGATCTGCAAAAATTAGCACAAAGATACATGTATAATAAATAACCTGGAGGCTACTATTTTAGGTTCCTGTGTTCTGTGTCCTAGAAGAGGAAGAAAGCAGGTGAGTGCTTTACTGGGCTTCTACTCTACCACAAGCAGTGAGGTGGCTGTATCTGACTTGCCTTCTTTTCTCTATAAATGCAGCTCCCCTGTGAAGCTGCTAGGCAAAAATGCTGATGAAAGCAACATTATTATTCCTTGACTTTTTAGTTGTCACAGGAGAAGTACCCCTTTGTCCTTGTCTCTTCCTTAGGCATACCCATCAATGAGGCAACCCCAACATGGGAACTGATCTTCCACTATTTTTGAGTGTCAAAAGGCAGACATATTTAACAATATAAAAGAAGACGTATGCTTTAAAAAAACACATATGCTGAAGTTTCTATTAAGTTTGAAAATGTTATGAAAATATTTATAATATTATACAAAACAAAGGTTTACTATTTGTGGGATTAAATAAAAAATGTTTGACGTGGGGTGTAGAGAGAGGGCTGTGAGGCGGCAGAGCCCTCACAGCCTGGGGAACATTCAGAGAATAAACCCCCCACTGCTTCTCCTCCTTTCCGAAACAGCCATTTTCCTTTCTTCATGCTCCTCCTGCCAGAAGTCACATGGCCCTTTCTTTCTATAGTTATCTATGCAGAGATCCTTGAGATCTCTCCCTTCTTTCTTATCATATGCTAACAAAGTTAAGCAGTAACCACTAAGTCACATTTCTTCCTTTGCTTTGTCAACTATGCTGAGATTCTTGGGATCTTGCCCTTCTTACTTCTTGTTATATGTTAATGAAGTTGAGCAGAAACCATTAATAAGATGGTTTGTCTTTGTTAAAGTAATTTACATTTTCATATTGTTCTGTAAGATCAAAACTTTCTCTTTTGTTTGTGCTATTTCCTCATTTTGTCTGATACTTCGCCCTGGAAAACCCTGTACAGATAGTATAAAATAAAGCTAATTTTGTGCTTTGGGGCTGCCTGTAGCCATCAGCTCAGTCAGTCCTCCTGGTCCCATTGTGAGAGCCAAACTAGCTCCATTTTGTTGTTTACAGCACAAGCCCCATTCCTGGCTGTTTACCGCATAAGTTCCATTCATAGCCCCTGCACCCCAACCTCTGCCAGGGAAACCTGCAGGTCCACTCCCTGCTGCCTCTCCCCCACCCCAGGCTGCAGAGCCCCTGAGCCATAAACTGAGTTACCTTAGGCAAACAGCTGCTATAATAAACAATAAGTTTCCATTACCGTGAAATACAGGCAATCAGGCTGCACCAACTCTAGCCCCCGGTTAAGGGACCCCCCACCCCTCACCCGTACCAATCCAAATTCACCTTTACTAGTGAAATCATCAGCTACCAAAGCAAATTCTCCTTTACTTCCTCCTTTACTAATGAAATCACCAACCACCAATGAAAAGTGTACTCGTACTGGACCCTACCCCTCTTGCTTTCTGTACCTCATAAAAACTTGCTCCACCCAGGATTCGGGGCTCTTCCTTGGTGTGTACACTAGGAGAGTCCAGGCCCGGGTTTGAATGAAACCTCACCTCATGCCTTTTACATCAGAGTGTGTCTCGGATTTGTCTGTTGGGGCTGTTTGCGAGAATAATTTTCGGACCTAACACCATGCTGTTTCTGTGTCTTCTCTTGTGCTGTATTTTCCTCATTCCCCACCAATTGCACTTTGGTTCGTTCCCCTTTGCCGCGCTGGTTTGCGACAGTGGGGTAGGAGAAAGAAGAGAGGACTAGCACTTGTATGTCAAAGCTGTATTCTAAAGCAATGAAACAGGGTCTCAAGTAGGTATCTATACATTCTGCACCATGGGGTGTCTCTGTGGGCATAAGATGTGATAAAAGTTTGATAAAGTTGTGGTAAAAAATATTATTCAATGTATTAAAAAAAAAAACCAGTAAAAATTCTAGGCATTAAAGGGGCATGCTTTATTTATAGATAAGCCTAAAGAGTTATTAATTTTTAAATTCTTACCTATCAATAAAACTCTTAATGGAAAAGAGAGAAGAAATATTTTAGTTAATGTAATAAATCAAAACATAGGCATTTAAAGAGCAGTACAGGCATGGACTTAGGACTAGAATGTGTCATTATTTAATTTAACTGCAATGCCAGCTGCAGGTAAAAAATTATGGAACAGAAAGGAAAGTGACGAAGTGCGCTGTGGCTTCAGCTGGAGAAGTATAAGGCATTACTCGGGCAAGTGCTCATCCTCATACACAGGCAGAGCCTCTCCAGTCTGAGCCCCTGCTATGTCATCACCAACATGACTGACGTCACACCTGAGTCTTCTGTGTGAGGCTCAGAAAAGCAGCGATAAATGGTACAATGAAAAGGAAATACATCCCTGGAGATTACTTTATTAATGAACTTCAGGAAGGACTGAAGCTAAAGAAGCAATATGTTCAAAGAAAGAAATTAAATAAAACAGGTGTTCACACTGGGTAAAAGCCAGAAAATGAACTGAAAGATATGAGAAAAGCACAGACAAATTCAGGGAGAAATACATGTGCCTTCCTCCACACAAGAGTAAGAGTAAAAAAGTATATACTCATATTTTTCAACTTTGAATGCTTTATAATTATTCCCATGAAAAATGCTTTTGTACATATTCTGACAGAAAACAGAAATTTCTCTCTGGGTTGAATCTGTTACCCCATATGTTTATTCTAAGTTTTCATACCTACAGAAATAACGTCCCATGTCAACTAAAATAGTCGCAAAAAAAGGGAAATGAAAAGAACACCAAACTAAAAGCAACATTTTCACTTAAATTTTGGGTTCCTGTTTTAAGGAACATGTTTTTAAACCTTTGGGGCAAAAAATGAGTCTCCAGACTGCATAGTCCTCTGAAAAAACAAAGTGTTTTATAATATTGTCTCTTGCGAACTTACTTCAAAGAGATGCTGGAGAGGATTGGACTGGAGTTTTTCTTCATAGCCAAACAGTTGGAAGCCAGTTCCCAGAAGACCTAATGTAATAACCCGTAAATGAAAAGTTATAAAACAGAACAGAAAAATAACAGGTATGGCAGGGAACAGATATAGTTCTATAAAAAGATCAACCTCTCATAATTATGTATCCTAAGAACTACTGCAAAATACACTTTCACCTTCTGTTACCACATGAACTGACACAAGTCAAATGCAATATACTGAATCATATCATGTTGAATCAAGTTCAATATATTGTATAGATCACTGAAATTAAGTTCACAGAATCCAATAGGTTATGGGCTCATCAAAGGCAGAGTGTAGGACTAATTTATCTCTGTACTAACAATGTCTGCATATTAACAGACTTTATTAAAATTTGTGTCCCTGACATTAATAAATATTTATTAAGCAACTCTAAAAGGACATCATTATGCTAGGCACTAGATATTCAAAATATGTGCAACCAAACTGATTGGAAGTGATTTTAAACTTGTAGGTGTTAAAATAAAACAAAGGCAAAAATGAGTGTGGTGTTATAAAAATAGGTTTTTTTTGAGACAGAGCCTCAAGCTGCCACCTTGGATAGAGTGCTGTGGCATAACAGCTCACAGCAACCTCCAACTCCTGGGCTTAAGTGATTCTCTTGCCTCAGCCTCCCAAGTAGCTGGGACTACAGGCACCTGCCACAGTGCCCAGCTATTTTTTGGGGGGTTGTAGTTGTCATTGTTGTTTGGCAACCTGGGCTGGGTTTGAACCCGACAGCTCTGGTATATGTGGCTGGCGCCTTAGCTGCTTGAGCTAGGGGAGCTGAGCCTAAAAATAGTTCTGTTCTCCTATAAAAGTTAACCAAGTAACAGAATTCTTTAACTTGGTCATGTGTATTTTTTCAGTTTTGGATGATATGTTCAAAATTCAGGGGTAGTGTTAATTTTTCTTTTAAAAACTAGAACTTCCATAGCTACCACTTCCCTACAGTGACCACCTCAAATTGACCTAATTTTTATAGATGAACATGTACCACGTGTACAGAGCAGTACACTGGGCCTAGTTCTTTATGTTGACCATCTTACATTGACCAATTTGTTACAGTCCCTTGAGTGGTGAATTACAGAGATTCTACTATATTATACTAATTGAAGTTTGTAAACTAGAAATAAAAATTCTTAGTATGGGCTTGGTGCCTGTGGCTCAAGTGGTTAAGGTGCCAGCCACATACACCTAAGGTGATGGGTTCGAGTCCAGCCCAGCCCACCAAACAACAATGACAGCTGCAACCAAAAAAAATAGCCAGGCGTTGTGGCGGGTGCTTGTAGTCCCAGCTACTTGGGAGGCCGAGGCAGGAGACTCGCTTGAGCCCAGGAGTTGGAGGTTGCTGTGAGCTGTGATGCAACAGCACTCTACCCAGGGTGACAGCTTGAGACTCTGTCTCAAAAAAAAAAAAAAAAATCTTAGTATGGACTGTAAATATACTTATTAAAAAATTTTGCTAAAAGATGCCTATATTTTAGGTTGAAAGGTTATATGCAGCCTGGGCCCAAAGCAATAAGAACTAGCTTTCTTATTTTAAAAACCAATTTGTTTCTACAATCATCAATTACCAAACCTCAGATCTAAAGGGCCTTGCTGATGTTCATTTTTCTACATAAGGCTTAGCAGAAAGTGGAATGCTACTGACCACAAGGATATATAATACTTTCAAACTTAGGAATAAGAAGACTAAGTAAAGCTCTATTCACTTTCAAAGCAAGAACAAATGTGATTATGAATCAGGATCTTAGAAACAGAGTGTGGAAAGATGCCCACAGTGTTCCATAAAATAAAAATAGGAAAAGGCCAATTCCATTTAACATTGACTCTAATACATTCTCAAAAACTAATTCTGTGCTTAGGAACAGTTTGCCAACTTTCAAACAGGGATAGCTGAAACAGCAAAATTGGAATTATGATGGAAATGTCAGCAGATCATTAACCATAGTTAGATTATTCAGAGAAAAAACACTGTAATAAAAATCTGTAGCTAAAAATTTAATAAATACCATAACCATGTATTTGCTAATATCTATGAAATGTCTAAATTGGTCAAACTAGTAATAAAAAACAGCTGCTATCTATTAAGTCTGGTGACCCTAGGGCCAAAACCTTTGACTACGACTTGCTGTGAACTGCAGGTGAATTTTTAAAATGCAGAGCAGGTGTTCTGATTCCTCCACAGTGAATAGTAAAGATACTGATTGCAGGGTCAAAATATTCTCTTCTTAGGTTCTCAAAAAGATTTTTATTAACTAGAAGGACAATACTCATAAGAGAAAGTCATGATAAATCTTCTATGGAAAGAAATCCTTCAACAAATGGGCTTTTCTTTTAGAAACTATAATTTCATTTCACTGGATATGGCACATAATAGTATCAATAAACTTGAGAATTGGTAATGCATATTGCATACTTGATAGAAGATTTATAATATTACCTAGACTTGCCTTTGAATTAGTATTGTAAAACATTTCCCAGGACAGACTGATTCATAATTATGAATGCCTTGTACGTGCCAAGCATGATAGATATAAAAGTAATCAAGACACAGTCCACACCTTCAAGAAACATATCACCTAGCAGAGGAAAGCAGCAGCAAAGGAGGATACAATAATACAGAAGTCTATTTAGAAGTCTATTTGAGCACAGCTGGGTACAGGAACTGCGTGATGTGACAAAGTGGGCAAGGGAGTGTGTGTCTGTGTGTGAGAGAATGCTTTAGAGAGGTGACACTAGGGCTACATCTTGAAATACACATTATAGTCACCAGAAATGTTTTAAAAGTCTGCATTTCACATGCTACCAGTCCTTCACTACTGTAACAATTTCATTTATGTTGCCTTTCCACACCTTGATTATTGGTTTATATGAGTTAGGAATAGTTCTGAGTAAACTCATGACATGAGAGATAATTTATGGCACACAACTGGGGCCATCACTCCTCTCTTCCCTATTTGGACCACCCCCCATACAGTTAAAGGGGAAGCCAAAGTATCTCCTTTTGTTTCTTAATGGCCATTAAGAAAAAAGTAATAGGTAGGGTGCACTACTTTATTCAATAGGATTCTGCCCATATTCTGTCCAGATGATCAGGTGACATATTAAAAAATTAAACTTTACAATTAAATGAAAAATAAAATCTCAAACATACTTACCAAATTGCATGCCCCAATCTCCAAGGTAATTTATTCTTGTTACTTCATGTCCTAAAGCTTCTTTAAGATTTGCTATAAAATTTCCTAGTAATTAATAAAATATATGGTTTCTCATTATCCATTCCAGCTTAAGAACCATGTGGTTCTCTATCATCACAGTACAGCACAGAAAATTCTTTTTGCAGAGCTTAACAACTCAAATAGTTTTTACTAAAACATTTATTCCTGGGTTTTCATCTATTTTATGAAAAGGGAGAAAAAGAATTACTTTTAAGGAAGTTAGTTCTTCCAAAGAATCTTAACTTTCATCACCTTTATTAATAGGAGTTGAGAACACATGTTAGATAGGATAACTACTACTATAGTTAATTCCAAGGACAGAAAATTAAGAAACCCTAGTAACTACAAGTATATAATTTGTCTGGGCCTTAAAAACCTAAGCTACACTGTTGTATTTTTCTTTTTCTACTCTACCTCCTTTCAATCACTAAAGTTCACCCTCCATATGCCCTATTATAATATTAGCTATTACAGAAAGTTAAAATCATAACATAGGCTCAGCGCCTATAGCTCAGCAGCCAGGGTGCCAGCCACATACACCGGAGCTGGCAGGTTTGAACCCAGTCTGGGCCTGCAAAACAACAATGACAACTATAACAAAAAGAAATAGCCGTGCATTGTGGTGGGCGCCTGTAGTCCCAGCTATTTGGGAGGCTAAGACAAGAGAATCACTTAAGCCCAAGAGTTAAAGGTTGCTGTGACGCCAGGACACTCTACTAAGGGTGACATGGTGAGACTCTATCTCAAAAAAAAAAAAACAAAACGATAATATATACTAATTAAAACTGATTTCTGAGTTAATCTTTCAGTTTTGAAATGAATTTCATTTTTCCATTTCTAAACAAATATTTACCATTTCACCTACTATTTAATTAGCATTAGGCTCATACCATTTAAACTTTGTGGTGTTTTTTGTCTTTTTGTTATTTAAGCATCAAAGCCATTAAACTTTACTAACAAATGCTTCCCCAAAGGCATGCTAATATTTTCTGTAAAATTAAACACTTACCTATAATGGTAGAACGCAAATGTCCAACATGAAATTTTTTGGCAACATTAGGTGAACTGCAAAAAATTGCAAAAGTTACTTCTTTATTCTAAAAACAAGAATTCTAAGAATGAACTAGGTTTGACATAATTGGGGACTTGGGCCTTTGGTAATTTAGGGCAAAAATGTTAAAAATCAGAAATTTAGGCTAGGCATGGTGGCTCCCGCCTGTAACCCCAGCACTTTGGGAGGCTGAGGCAGGTAAATTGCTTGAGCTCAGGAGTTCAAGACCAGCTTGAGCAAGCACAAGATCCCATCTCTACTAAAAACAGAAAAACTAGCTGGACGTTGTGGAGGGTGCCTATAGTTCCAGCTACTAAGAAGGCTGAGAGGCAGGAGGACTGCTTGAGCCCAGGAATTTGAGGTTGCTGTGAACTATGAAATCAGAGCACTGTACACTCTGTCTCAAAAAAAAAAAAAAAAAAAAAAATCAGAAATTTAAAGCAAAGATAAATCAGAACTCAGGAAAAAAAATTAAATAAAACATCTCAGTGAAATGGATCCTGTGACTCATGACATATTACCACATGTGGGAGTGGCAAACTTAGGAAACAGATACATTTAAGGACTAAGAAAAAGATAAAGGAATTCTGAGATATCATTTTGACCAAAACATAAATCACTGGGACTTATATCAGGTCTCAAGCTCTTTATCCTCTTAAAAATTGAGAAGCCCAATGAAATTTTTATCATATGGGCTATACCTTCAAATACTATCATCAGAAATTAAAACTGAAAAATGTAAAAATATTTATGCATAAAATCTTTCATAACAATCAGAAATACGATTCACCATTCCAAATTCTCAGTCAACATATTTACAGCTCCTATGTGAGAAGTTATAATCAGGCATTTTACTAGAGCATTCACACCTGACAGGCACAGTTTTACATATTTCACCTGAACTAACTCATTTAACACTCATAAGAGCTATGAGGTAAGGTACTCTCATCTCTTATTTTACAGGTGAGGAAAGTGAGACAACAGTGAAGAGAGATGACAAAGCTTATGGGTCGATATCTTGATGACTCAAGTCAGAGAGATGAGCATGAAGGGTAAATTATACTGTTCTGTGTTGTGTCTGTTTGAAAACCTCATAAATTTTTCAATATTATTTTTAAAAAAGATACTTAACTTGAACATAGCTAAAAAGTGGTAAAATTAGAGCTTAAATTTTGGTCTTTCTCCAGTCTTATAACCCTTTTTCAGAGTATTACACTTGAAAAACTTGATCCTATGGATATGTGGCCACAATTAGGAAATTTTGCAACTACCCATATGTTCCTCTAATTATTACTTAGAAAGTAAATGTCCTTCTAGCCTTAAAAAAAAGTCTTCCATTTCTAGCCAAAAGAAAATAACAAGGATTGGGTTTCCTCTTCTGCCTTGTCTAAACAATCAGAAAACCAGAAGAGATGTGTAAAGCCATGCAGCAGGCAGCAGGGACTGCAGCCTTGGAGAGCAGACGAGGGGCCTGGGGTTGCACTCTGGCACTGCCTTCCTAGCAAATCTCTGGGATGTAGCTAAAGCAGAAAAACCTATAATGTGAAACGTTTACATTAGAAAAGAAAAAAGGTTTCAAATTAATAATCTAAGCCTCTCTCTTAAGAAACCAGAAAAAGTAAAGCAAACTAAATGCAAAGACAGCAGAATAAAAGGAAATAACATAGATTAAAGTAAGAATCAAATAAAAAATCCAGAAAAATAGTTCTATACCATATTGTAGTGGTTACACAACCTGTACACCCTTGCCAAAAGTCAAATTATATATCAAAATATGATGAGTTGTATTGTTTTATATGTAATTATACCTCAATAAAGCTAATTTAAGGAGGGAAACAAGAATTTCCAGACAACAGAATACTATGGGACAATAAAAGCCAGCCAGCCCTGGATATATTGATATTAAAGCAACAAAAGAAACACTGTTTATTTAAAAAAAAAAAAAAAGGAAACAAAAAAGCAAGAACAATGTAAAATAATGTCTATTTATAAATCCAAAGGCTATCTCTAAGAAAATAAACAAAACATTCATGCTGGTTGATGTCCACAGAAGAAAACTGAAAAAGTAGAATGGGGAAGAGATTTCCTTTTAACTGAATACACCTTTAAAAGCTTTGAATTTTAAAAAACTAGGTATTTATAGCATCTGTTTAAGAAAAACCATACAACTTTCATTGAGCTTTGTATTTTTCCTGTCAAAATAGAATTGAATCTATCTAGGTCTTTAAGCTTTGATAAAACTTCCCCTGAAATCATCAATTTGCCATTCTCTGGCACTGTATTTCTACTGAGAAGGGAATATAAGAAAATGGAGAACACAAATTCAATGCCTTTGGCAAGCAAAGCAACCAGTATGGATTACAATTTGGGCACTTTTCTGGGTCTTTTGTTAAATGATTTCATGTAACTTCCTCAATCTTTTAAGGAAGAACAGGTACTATTACTCTTATTTTCCAGGCAAGAAGACACCCAGAGAAATAAACTGTCCCATCCAAGACCACCCAATCAGTCGCTAACAAAACTGCTACCCTGACCTCCCAGATTCCCACTCTATCAGTCAGACAGAAGTCCCCAATCTATTCTGTGAGAAAAACACTTCACATCTGTGAGAAGCAAAGGGTAGAGATGATCATGTTATGGAGAGGAGAGGCGAGGAAAGACTATCACTGCTGACTGTGCCTACAGATTTGATCTGTACAGAAGAGGAAAGGCTGGTTGGACACCGTGGCTGATGCCTATAATCCCAGCACTTTGAGAGGCTAAGGTAGGAAGATCACTTGAGTCCAGGGGCTCAAGACCAGCCTTGGTAGCATAGTGAGATCCCATCTCCACCAAAACATTTTAAAAAATTAGCCAGGCTTACTGGCACATGCATATAGTCCTAGTTTGAGAGACAGAGGCAAGAGGATCACTTGAGCCCAGGCGTTGGCAGCTGCAAGTGAGCCACAATCACACCACTGTACCACTCCAGCCTGGATGAGGGAGTGAGACTTTGTCTCTTTGGAAAAAAAAAAAAGAAGGAAAGAAAGAAAAAGAGGAAAGGCTGACTTTGAAGAGGAGAAAAGCATCAGTAGTTAGCTCCAAGTCTCACACCATTTACCCAGAGTCCAAGTCCATGATGGTCAGTTACCTGCCCTGGCATCAATACATCCTCCAACCATTTAAAGATAGGAATGAAAATAAAAATGACCACAAATTGTTTGCCACTCTTGCCATTAAGAGATGTACTGTATTTTCCTTTCCCTTGAATCTGTGCTGATCTTGCGACTTGTTTTGATCAACAGAATGTGACAGAAGTGATGGTGTGCCTTGTTCAAAGACTAGATGCTTTCATCATCCTGGCATCCTGAACAACTTCGTAAAGAAGTCTGGCTACCTTGCTGGAGAGATAATGTGGCAGGAGAGATGATGTGGAGGGAGAGGGAGAGAGACAGATACACCTGGCTAGAAAAGTAAATGAGCTACCTTGGATTTCCAGCCCCAGTAAAGTCTCTATATAACCATAGTCACAAAAGGGACCTCAGGCTAGCAGAACCATCCAGCTTAAACATTCCCATCTCTCCATTTCCTAACCCATGGAGTCATTAGTATTAAAATGGTTATTGTTTGAAGACACTAATCAAAAGTTGGCAAATTTTTTTCTTAAGGAGCCAGATAGTAAATATTTGAATAGGCTTTTGGATCATCTGGTCTCTATCTCAACTACTTAGTTCAACTGCGATTGCAATTTGAAAGCAGCCAACACAGGTAATACAAAAGCATGTTCATGGCTGTGTTCCAAAAAAACTTCATTTACAAAACACGCAGCAGGATGGATTTCACCCATCCCTGTATTAAAATTTGCAGTGGTTTCTTATCCAAGAGAGAACTCAATGACAGGCAACTCTGAGGGATGGTCTTAGTGTAGCTCCTCTCTGGTCTGAGTATGACTGTATGAAGGCCCTCTCCTCTTTGTGATACAAGAAATGTTTAAATACAACTTTAAATATAATTGTGGTGTACTGAGAGTGTAAGATTCGTCATAATATCTGTCTGCTCTGTAGTGGCAGAAAGTTACTTAGCAATTGGTCCTTATCCTAAACCAATGAGTGTGGGTCTTAGAGGATCTGCTTTTTCTAAAAACATGAGTAAGTGGCAGAGATGGTACAAATGTAGAATCATAAAACCCATTCTATCTCTGACCATCCAGGAGCTAATCATAATTAAGTAAAAAAGTTATCATAAATTACGATGAGTTAGTAAACATGAAATAATATTTACTTTTTTTTTTTTGTAGAGACAGTCTCACTTCATGGCCCTTGGTAGAATGCCATGGTGTCACACAGCTCACAGCAACCTCCAATTCCTGGGCTTAGGTGATTCTCCTGCCTCAGGCCTCCCGAGTAGCTGGGACAATAGGCGCCCACCACAACGCCCTGCTATTTTTCTTGTTGCAGTTATGACGGGGCTGGGTTTGAACCCGCCACCTATGGTATATGGGGCTGGTGCCATCCTCACTGAGCCACAGGCGCTGCCCTCTGATAATTTTCTTGTGCTATCAATCTGTCAGTTGTACAATGAAAGTTTTAGTTCTTAGTAGTCCCTTTTTGGTTACTTCTAAACAATCTAAATATTAGACTGACAGCATATTAGAAAGTTACATAAAGACTATTCAGAGGCATTATTAAAACTTTGAGCTATTTTTCTGATAATTAGAAATAAAAATATTACAAATGCTACAAGATTTTGTTCTCTAGTGCTCAAACTTCTTTAAAATTCTTTATATGGTAGTAACCACTACTTCCGCCTTAACAGTCTATTAAAGTGAAAAATTAGTTCTTCCAAAAAAGTAATTGTTAAATAATTAAAAGTAAAGGAAAACATAATAATCTTTAGATCTTTTTTGGATTAGAGATCCAAAATCTATCATATTTTTACTCATATTATTCACGGCTTTATGTGATTTAAAACAATAATATAAACTCATTGGTTTTCTTTTTTTTTTTTCTGAGACGGAGCCTCAAACTATCCCCCTGGGTAGAGTGCCATGGCATCACAGCTCACAGCAACCTCCAACTCCTGGGCTCAAGCGAGTCTCCTGCCTCAGCCTCCCAAGTAGCTGG